GGCTGGGGTCCCCCCCCCCCCCCCCCCCCGGCCAAAGCCACGCGCCGGCCACGTGACCACCCCGCGCTGTAAACACGATTGGACCAATCAGCGCGCTTCTAGCAACGCGCTCTGGCGGCTGGGCGAGCGGTTTGTGACGCCGCTTCCCATTGGGCGAAGCGCCTGTCAATCATCTTCCAGCCGGGGGCGCCGTGGCGTTTGGGGTTATTTACATCGCGCGTGGCCACGCCCACTCCGCTGAGGCCGCGCCCCCTCGCGCTGCCCGTCTGCCCCACGTGGGTGACGCGTGCGCTCGGCCAATCAGAGCCGCCAGCGGCGGCCAATCAGGAACGCCGCCCGCTGGGAGGGATTAACGGCGTGATTGACAGCTGAACCATGCAATAGCAACGCGGTTTATGCTCTGGGGGGCGTGGCTGCGCGGCGGGGCTGACCAATGGGAGGTGTGGGCGTGGCCGCGGCGGGAGGGGCGGGGCCTGGCGGTGGCGGCGGAGGGCGCGGAGCGGAACCGGCCCGGCCCGGCCCGAGGTACCGGGGGGGACCGGGGGGGACAGAGGGGGACAGAGGGGACAGCGGGGCCCGGGACACCGGGGGGGGAACAGAGGGGACAGCGGGGGGGACACAGGGGCCCGGGACACCGGGGGGGACAGAGGGGACAGCGGGGCCCGGGACACCGGGGGGACACCGGGGGGCTCCGGGCCCTGAGCGGCATCCCGGGATCCCAAAAGAGTCCCCGAAGGGCCTCTGTGGGGGCCGGGATCGGCTCCTCCATCCCAATCCCAATTCCCAATCCCAATCTCATTCCCAATCTCCGTTCCCATTCCCAATCCCAATTCCCAATCCCAATTCCCAATCCCAATTCCCAATCCCATTCCCAATCCCAATTCCCATTCCCAATCCCAATTCCCAATCCCCAATCCCAATTCCCAATCCCATTCCCAATCCCAATCCCATTCCCAATCCCAATCCCAATCCCATTCCCTATGCCCCAATCCCATCCCAATTCCCAATCCTCAATCCTGCTCCAGTTCCCAATCCCAATTCCCAATCCCATCCCCCATTCCCATCCCAGTCCCGTTCCCACTCCCAATCCCAATTCCCGTTCCCAATTCCAATCCCCAATCCTAATCCTCATTCCCAATCCCATTCCCACCCTATCCCATTCCCAATCCCAATCCTAATTCCCGCTCCAATTCCCAATCCCTAATCCCATTCCAAATCCTAATCCCAATCCTCAATCCTGCTCCAATTCCCAATCCCATTCCCAGTTCCCATTCCCAGTTCCCAATCCCAATCCCATCCCCCATTCCCAGTTCCCAATCCCATTCCCAGTTCCCATTCCCATTCCCAGTTCCCAATCCCATTC